TAAAGCCTCGCATCGCAGTCGTCATCGTCGTCGTCGTCAGCAGCAGGAGATGCAAAATACAGGTAATTCATTGTGCGGGGGTGCATTCAAATAACTACTGGGATGAACCAAAAAGATTTAGCAGCAGCAGACGGCACCTGCAGAGCAGACTATTCCTCTTTTGTGTAGCCCAATGAAAGAGGATTAACGCCGCAGCCAGTCTCGGCAGTATCCCTGGAAGAGGGATGATAAAAATTTGCATGAACCGTGCTCATCCCCATACAGCAACGAGGATTGCAACAGCTCGTTGAAGGATTATTCCTTACAGTACTCCTGGGGGACCGGTACAGCGCTATTCCTTGTTCAAAATGCGCATGGCTTCATTTTCTTCAATAACTACGAAAACTGGCACCTTACAAGCCATAAACCAACAATTTAAATTCAAAATTTTGAAGAACGATTTATGAGAAACAAGTGATTTCGGTTCTATCAAAATTACGAAACTGCAAATTACGGAACCCCAGCTATCCGGTAAAAACGATTTATGGGACAAGTAAAATTTTGCTTCTGTCAAATTTGGACAATTGCAAGTACCATCCATTTGCCCAAGTCTTCTGAGATGCCACAGTCTATTATCGCCCATGATCTTCTGGAACGCCAGCTTATCGTCGCCCATGAACTTCTGGAATGCCACAGCCTGCCACATGCTTCTAAAAAGCCAATCTACAGAGGAGAAATAACACTGCATCAGCCAGACGAGTCCCGCAAATGAGGACAAAGCGGTTATTGTAACGGACGTAAATTAGTCAGAACGACCAAACTATAATATAAATGAGGGCGATAAAAACGGGAAGAACAGGAATAATGATAAAAATTGGCCATTCAAGAGAACTGCGAAATCATCTACGGGCGCCAGCTTGCTCTACAAAATTCCCGACAACCGCATTCCTGGACAAAACCAAACACAACTGATGAGCCGAAGGAATGGGGGCGAATGCTTCATGTGTAAAAGGTGTGAGAAGCGACGGCACAGTCCAACGGCAAAACTCCAAACGAATTTTATCGCTGTTTTGTGTGGGCATGTCTGTGTGTTTGTGCGTGTCTGTGTGTGTGTGTGTCCGTTTGTCCGTGCACAATCCGTGGGTGCATTGACACACACAGTGGAGCAGGAGCAAGAGCAGCAGTCACCCGGATGCTCTCCAGCCAATCATCGTCAAACAAAACACATCTAACATGACGATGCATTAGAAGTGCCATCTTTTTTCACTTCAAAATTAAATTCGCGAAAGAGCGAGTCAGAGTGAGAGAGACAGAGAAGGAGATCAAAATCGCCCGGTATGATTAATATCAGTGAGGTCTGTGCAAAAATTCGGAATGTGCTCAAAAGAGTGTTATCATGAAAATCCAATCGAGAAAATTATCAGTGAGATCGAAATTTGAATAGATCGAAATTGATTAGATCGAAAAAAAGCAGGTGAGTAGATTAAAATTTTGAAAAATTTGTCCTGGCAAAAGAAATAACGCTGAATTTAGTATGGGTACGTATCCGGGAAGCCAGTGTGCTTCACGAAAATCCTAGAACGAAAGTTTTACCGATTGAATTAATGAAAAAAAAGCATTTATTGTTTGCTCACAATACACATGGGAAATTGCCTAGCATTCAGTAAATGTGTCCTCCGAAACCTTCACCGGAAATGAAGAAGCAAAACTAAAGCAAAGAACATTAAATCCGTCGAAATAGCCCAGGAAATCATCTATGCACTCTGGGAATGGGGATGGAACCATAATTCCGGTGCAGCTGTGCTAGATGCCCCTCTTTCCAGTTCCTACCTTCAAGCGGGGAATCAGCTCCCCTACAGCCAATAACCCCGTCCCCTCTCTATTATAACCCCCGGAGTCTAAACCACCAGTCCCGCTCCTCCCCCACCCTTCCTCCTCCGTCTTCAGCCCTTAGCCACCCACACATCAGACACGCCGTACGCTTCCCAACCCAGCTGTCGATTTTTAATATTTGCATCCACTGGATGTATGTAAGGCGAGAAAAACACAATGCCCATCGGATTTTACTTTCTCGCACAGCTACAATCAAATCCTTTACGCAGCAAAAAACACCTAAAGACGAGTCAGACTGCTTCCCAAGCATCATTCAGTCCATCGCTCTCTCCGTCCCGGCCAGCACTTGCTCTTCCAGCTTCGTCAGTGATTAAGCTTTGCCTCCTCGAAAACTAGAGCGAAGATTCCCCAGCGTAAATCCGCTGGAGAATCGTGCCTCTAGTACTCGAGTATTTGCTAACAGGTGCGGTCCTAACTCATCCGTTTATACCAGAACCATTTGCCACTGCCTGATTACCGGGAAGCAAGATGTATTCGGGACCAATGAGATGGCGTTCGAGAGCAGCTACGGCTAGTACACATTACATTCAAATAGACGTTTTTCCTACAACGTAGAGTCACATCTTAGTGGCACAAAAACTCCACGCAGATGCATAATTTGAACGTTTTTGTTAGGTGAAAGATGAATACGTAACGTAATTGATAATTGCTCTGCTACATCCCCATACATATAAATACACACACACACACAAACACGCACACACATGTGCAGACATACGTGTACAAACACATACACACAGACACATACATACATACACACACGTGTACAAACACACACACACGCACACACACACATGAACACCAAACTCTTGCAAAAATTGGCTCACAGCTAAACAGAAAATTTGTTTTGGAAAGAGGAACGCTTGTTGAAGCGTATGTGTGTTTTGATTGAGAGAAGAGAGTGCTGCTCGACTGAACGCTAAGATGTTCTATTACCAAAAAATGACTATAAATAACGCCCCCATTGGAGCAGAAATATCCAAACAAGTGGCCCAGTAAATTACTATGCTGCATGTGGCCTAAACGTGTGTACACCTAGACAGAAAGAAAAGTGAAGGCATCCAGCTACTGCTAGGCGTATAGGACCGATATCCACGAGCAAGGACCGATATCCACAAGCAACTACGAAAACTCGGCTCGACCGTGCAATATGCACTCGCTTTTACGCGTTTTTTTTTGCGCTCGGGATTTGAGCTGCGATATCCTAGCGCCAAGTTTTTTTGGTCTGGAAGAGGACCGTGTTCAAAACTACTAACTTCACCTCTACATCAAGTTTTATGTTAATCATAAAAAAGCACATACAGTCCCCTTCCCATAAATCTCGACTCTGTTTTCAACTCCTACTTCTACATAAGGCCTCAACTCTTTTCCAGTCAATAACCCGGCTCTCTCTCCTCCGTTATAACTTCCGAGATCTAAACCACCACCTCGGGCCTCACTGCCATTACCCTCATCCATCCCACCCGCTTCTACTCCTCCAACTTCTACCTCCAGCCACCGTAACTTGCCTCCCAACCTGTCCAAGCTAAGCCGAGTTTTAGCAGTTGCCTATCAAAGGTCCCATTCAAATAACTGTCTCTTCTCAAGTACATCTACTGTTGCGCTGATAATACGAAATTGCGAAAAAAAAAACAATGTTGGACGACAGGAATGAAGTTTACACAGGCAACGCTCGCGCAAAAAAAGAGATGAAACAGCCAGAATCTGTTCGGCCATCACCAGAACCAGGGTTTGCCCAGCTAAACATAAAAACTCCAAACCATGTGAACAATGAAAAACGACCGGCAATTAAACGTTCATGCGGGGAATGTATACGAATTTCTTCTCAAATCAACCCCATCTAATAACGTACGCACTTCTGCTCCATATACGTCAAGCAGATATTGCGATAACGATAATATACGGAAAGGAAAAAAAAAAAGAGAAATGAGGGAGGAAGGGTGCTGGGGCCGATGCAAACGAGTGCCCAAATTGCAATTGTGAAGCAATGTGAGCTGAGGAGCGGACGAAGCAGCTCTGCAATCGCAACAGGTGCCTCAGGGCAAAATGGGCAGTCTGTGCGACTTGGCCCACTATGTGGTTGCATCTCGATATCGAGCAGGGTAGGATGATTTCACTGGCAAAACTCAAGTAATCTTCTGAGCAGTAGCCCCAAGTGATGCCTGGAGGCAGTGTTGGGGCATATGGCCACGTTGGTTATGAAAAATCAGCCGATGATCGAATCAACCACCAAATAAACTACTAGTTTTATGAACAGCACCGACAAAATGGGCATTTGTAATTTGCATATACGCTAAAATTGCTCGCCAGTTGTTAAAATATTATGAGAATGCAGTCTGTTCCAGGAACCAAAAAGACGACAACTTAGCAACCATGCCCAAATGCATCGGCACACCGTAACTTTTTACTCTTAATACCAGTAAAAACCGGAGGAGCGAGCAGTAAAGAGAGCCTCTGGAAGCAAAAAACACAACAGAATGATTTTGCAAAACTATGTTTCATTGCTGTTGAAGGCTCGTGTATGCGTGTTCAAGCGCAGAGAAGTGAGAACGAACATAGCTATGATGTTTGTTATTACATGTCTACTAATATCTTCAAAGTGCCCAAAATGCATCATCAGAAGTATGTAGAAATTTCGTTCGAACAGCAGCAGCTGCGTGGTTACCCACTATTATATCTCAGCCGAGATGGCTGTCGACATTTGCTACCACTTGGGCTACTTTCGAGTGTCTCCATCTCTCTCAGAGAGAGTGAATACAGAGTGAGTTATAGGCTTCTAGCTTCTAGCTTACAGGCTTCTAACTTCGCTATTACAGGCTTCTAGCTTCGCTATTACAGGCTTCTAGCTTCGCTATTACAGGATACGATTTTTCTGCCGCAATATTTCGGCAAAAAAAATTCTTCACTATCGCACAAAAGCAATGAGTACTGTAGAAAATAGTAACGTTAAGCACAGTGGAATGATGGGTCACTCCTGTCAACGATTGTACCGATAACGAGTCAGAGATAAAAAATGACCAAAAAAAGATTAGTTAAAGGTCAACCGCTTCCGCTCCCCCCCCCCCCCCCCCCCCCC